AACCTTAAAAACAAAACCAAAACAGTTTAAATGAAAGTTTACCAGGTAAAGAATTGATTTTCCATTTCATCATTCATATATGTTTTGTTTCACCATTCATACATATTTTGTTTTATGACCTTAATTAGTATCCCTGTAATGTAACTAACTGCACTCTTCCCATTTCCTCTCTATTTTTCTTGTTTCCACCAATCCTTCTAGCTTAGCTTTTCTTGCTTTCTAGGCTTTCACTTTGGGGAAATGCTGCTCTTTTGAGTGTATATATGGTTGTTTCTCTTAAGACGTGAGTAGTTAGCCAGTCTGCTGTTTTAGCTCCAAGGTGTGTCTGATCCAGCCCATGGTCTTTTCACTTGCTGTGCATCTGAACAATGAGTAAAGATGACAGCAGAAAAATTAATGCCTTTGAGCTGTGGTGTTGGAGAAGGGTCCTGAATATTCCACGGACTGCCAAAAGAACAAACAGCAGATGTGTCTAGAAGCGAATGCAGCAAACTTGCTCTGTAGGGGCAAGGATGGTGAAGCTTCTTCTCGCTTACTTTGGCATGCTGTTAGGAAGGGTTATTCCTTGGAAAGAGACCTCATGCTTGGAAAGGTAGAGGTCAGTGAAGGACAAGAAGAACCTCAAGGAAATGTATTGAGGTTGCAACTGCAGCAATAAGCTAAAGTATATGAGAGATGATAGGGGTGACACAGATTAGGACAGGATTTAGATCTCTTGTTCCCAGGGTGGCTGAGTCAGATTTGACCACACCTGATATCAACTGTTTAGCTCAGAGTTGAGCTCCAGGGGTGAGCTGTGTTCCAAGTTAGAAGGGTAACTAAGGACCAGTCTTGGGAGTTCTGCCAGGATGGAAATCATTCTTGAGAAGCATTTTGCTATGAGGTCTAAACTAATTCTGAGTACCATGATTGATTGGTGATGTCTGACTTGATAATACAGTGGGGGAAAGGGTAGCCATACATCACTTGCAATTTCTGCCAGTCAGGATTGAATTGTGGTGTTGGCAAAGGACACTGAATACACTGTGGACTACCAAAAGAACAAATAAATATGTCTTGGAGGAAATGTAACCAGAGTGCTTCTAAGGCTGGGGAAACTTCGTCTCACATGTTTTGGGCAGGAGGGGCCAGTCTTTGAGTTAAATATTGTGTAGAGAAAGATAGAGGGTCAGAAAAAGGAAGGAAGAACTTGAACAAGTTGGATTGATACTGACAACAGAGGGTTTGAGCATGATGGAGATTGTGAGGACGACACAGGATGGGCAAGTTCAGATCTGTTGTTCACAGAGTCACTAGGAGTCATAGTCACTGTGATGGAGCCTTTCAACAACAACAATCAAGACTGTTAGAGTTTTCTGTATTGTTTTTTTTCTAGTGGTTAAATGAAAAATTTATTTGCTTTGTAAATGTTCCTTCAAATTATAATATTTTTGAAAAGATTACTTTTAAAAAAATGTTGTTGTTGTTATGTGCCTCCGAGTCACTTGCGAGTCAGAGTGACCCTGTGTACAACAGCTCTCAACTTTGCTCTATCCTGTGCCAATCTCACTATCTCAAACACACCCACCCCCACCACCCCAGTCACTGAATCAATCCACCTCATAGAGGGTCTTCCTCTCCTGCACCATCCCTCCACCCTACCAAGCATGACATCCCTCTCCAAGGACTGGTCCCTCCTTACAACATGTCCAAAGTATGTTAGACGGAGCCTCAGAATCCTTGCCTCCAAGGAGCAGCCTAGTTTAACCCTCTCAAGGATGAATCTGTTTTCTTAGCAGTCCATGGTACCCTCAGTACTCCTCTCCAACACCAAAGCTCAAAGGCGTCAGTTCTCCTTCTATCCTCCCTAGTCATTGTCCAACTCTCTGATGCATAACAAGTGATAGCAGAGACCATGGCCTGTATCAGACGCACCTTAGTCTCTAGAGAGACACCATTGTTCTTCAGTACTTTGGAGAGTCCCTAACAGCAGACTTTCCCATCACAATATGTCCTTTAATTTCCTGGCTTCTAGTGCCAAGAGCGTTGATTGTGGAGCTAAGCAGACTAAAGCTGTGAACAATCTCAATCTCATCACCATCCATCCTGAGCTGCCAATTGGTCCAGTGGTGAGAATCTTTGTAGTCTTGACATTGAGCCTCAATCCATACTGAAGGCTGCAGTCCTTGACCCTCTGCAGCAAGCGCTTCAGGTCCTCCTCAATTTCAGCAAGCAGGGTTGTTTCATTTGCATAACGCAGATTGTTAATAGATCTTCCACCAATCCTGATGCCATACTTCTCCTCTTAGAGCCCAGCCTCCTAGTTTATTTACAAGATTAAAATACATTGTTTTTCAGACCAGATTCTTCCAATTTCCCTCATCCCCCCCCCAACTGGTCACATTGTACAACCCCATGATAAACACACCCCCCCCACACACACATATTCTCAGGTCTCTGCTTCCACCCTCCCCACCCGCTTGGATCTTCCTACTCACTCTGTAATAATGGGTTTTGACAACATTTTTCCTTGTGAGCTGAGTTAGGTCACTCAGCATAATGCTCTCTAGTCCCTCCCAAGTTAGGTAATAATTTACAAAATCATGTTCCATTGTATGAGTGTACCACGACTTCTCAATCCATTCGATCATGGTTGGACATCTGAGCTGTTTTGTTTTTTTAATTATTCACACACCTTTCAGCGTTTTACATTGATCTTGGATACTACTCTATAGTCCTGAAGTGCTCTTACTTTTCATCTCTATGCCATTTCTTTCCTGGAACCTTTTTTCAGTTTCTTGAGTTTTGACTTTCTCTTAAGAGCTTTGAAGGAGAGGAGATACTAAATTAATTTTTTTTTTTTTTAAGAGCAGGAAGGTGTCACAACTGTTTCCCTCTCTGGAGAAATTCTGTGGCCAAATAGAAGAGAATGGGTTGGAGAGAGTGAAGATGGGAGTCAGAGAGGCCAATGGGGAGATTGTGGCACTAATACGAGTCAAACATGGTGGTGATTTGGGCGAGTGGTGACCATGACAATGGAGACAAGTGGGTAGGACTTGATGATTGACCTTGGGAGTGGGCCCAGGAGATTCCCAGGGCTCTTGTGTGGACGAGTGTGGTCGTGTAAGGCCTTTCACTCAGCTCCTTTTCCAGCTTTCCTTGATGAACTGGAAGCTCACATTTCATCAGTGAGGTTTGCAGGTGCATCAGTAATTCAGTGCAGGATTCAGGTGCCCTCCCAGAGACTGCCCTGGCAAGAGGGCCAGGGTGGCTGTATCCGTTCTAACTGCCTGTTCCAGTTGTAAAGTATTCTTAGCATCACCCAGCAGTACTATAGCCAGACAGTAGAATAAGTGCCCAGGGAATGGGCCAGAGCAGAGGCAGTATACAAGTTGGACGCTAAAGGGTGATTAGGGACTCATTAGGGGACCCAGCAGATTGGAGGCCATTCTAGGTAGAAAGCATTGCTCATGTAAAGGATAATGGCCTGCAGGATGTGATGGATATTGAAATCCAAACATACTTCTCTGTGGCAAAGCTTATGATGGGCCCTGTGCCATTTGCTGGGCAGATTTAATACTCTTCTTTTTACCACATGACAGTAAAATTGTCCATGGAGCAGTGAGTCTGTCCAGCTTGGAGCATGGCACGTTGGATGACATCTTTGTATTCTCAGGACACAGCTTGAGTGTCTGGTCATAAATATCCAGTAAATGTTGCCAGGGGACTCAGGAGGTTACCCTGGAGCTCTGGGCAAGCCAAGGACCTGGGCTTTCCCCTTTTGTCTTAGCCCAGGAGGGAGCTTTGGTGGCATAGTCTGTAGGGTGTTGTGTTAACCCAGAGGTGATGAACTCCTCTCTGAGAGTTCAAATCCATCTGCTGCTCCTTGGGAGAAAGATGAGCAGTTTTCTCTCTTGAGATTTACAGCCCTGGAAACCCAGGGACGAGTTAGCTGTGCATAGGTTCAGACTCAACAGCAATGAAGTTTTGCATTTATTTTCTTACTACAATAATGTGCTGTTTTCAGGGGATTCTTTATCCCCCTGACATCCACCACACTCTGGCTCAGACTAATCATTTATTTGGCTGGGCGTCCCCTTACTTCCTTGAAAATCTCCCCCAGGGCCCATGAGCTCTTCAGAGTGGAAGACTTGCTGTTTTATGACTAAGTGTCCCCAAATCACACTCTCAGATGCAGTTCTAAACCTGCAGTCACCTTTGGCCAAGCAGTTCAGTGATCAAGCGCCCCTTGGGGGTGAGGAGGCCAGAGTTCAAGTTTCAGCATGGCCTTTCCCACCCGTGCAAACCTCGGGCAGGCTGGTTTTATAGGCCTGCACTCCTGTTTCCGAAAGTAAAATTATCTCCCAGTGTTCTTGCCAACTTGGCACAAACACAAGCTTTCTTTGATATCAGGGGCCAGAGTCTGAGGTGGGAGGATCCCTCAGGCCCTGCTGTCAGAGGCAGTGGGCATCTAATGCTTTCTCCTGTCTTTATCTTTAATTTTTATCCACTGCTGATGACATTAAAGCCCATCTTTTAGCTGGAGAGAGAGAGAAAAAAAAGTCAGTGATCACTGCTAAATGATTTGCTGTATTTTTATTTTTCCATTTGTTTTGTAATCGAGCTCCACTTCCTTGTCACTTTATGTTCCATTTAGTCCTTGGAATACCTAAGAGGGTCCTGGTTAACAGTCCTGTTTCTTGGAAGAAGAAATTGAGGCACAGAGAATTCACTTGTCTTAGGGAGCCCAGGTTATCAATACCATTTCTCAGATGAGGAAACTGAGACCCAGAGAGGGCAGACCAGCTGCCCCCAGGGACTCAGGTTATCAGTCTCTTTTTCTCAGGTGAGGAAACTGAGGCACAGTGAGAGGAAGTCACCTGCCCGAGCGAGCCTAGGTTACCGGTCTCATTTCTCAGATGAGGAAACTGAGGCCCAGTGAGGAAAAGCGGCTTGCCTGAGGCGCACCCGGGTCTTCTCTGCTGTGACTGTGTTTGCTCACCTCCTCCCCTTCTCTCCGACAGAGAGCCAGCTGCTGCCGGGCAACAACTTCACCAACGAGTGCAACATTCCGGGCAATTTCATGTGCAGCAACGGCCGCTGCATCCCCGGCTCCTGGCAGTGCGACGGGCTGCCCGACTGCTTTGACAAGAGCGACGAGAAGGAATGCCGTGAGTGACGCCACCCTCCACTGGGCGGTCGGGGCTGGGACCCTCTTGGGGAAGGGGGCAAGAGGTCCTTGTCTGGCTTGGATCCTGCACACTTTACCTCCTGCAGGCTGCTGAGTTCAGGCCCCTGGTCAGTGGTTCTGTCCTCCCCACTCTGCACCAGTGTCTCAGGGCAGCGTGGTTTGTGCAGAAATGGGCATCTTGGTGCTGATGGAGCCACAACTTAGGAAACCATATTCAGAGCTCCTTGTCCTTGTGCTGGGGGACTGCCGTGGGCTTCACCAGCACACTAGGGGGAGTGGTGCTGAGATGCCCAGCTTCAGGATCTTACAACCAATAAGTAGCAGATTTGGTGTTTCAGCCCAGACCTACCTGGCCCCGACTCCCAGGTATGCAGGGCATTATGGAGTTTTTTTGGCTGTTAAGTTGGTGTGGTGTTAGGTCCCCCCACCCATCTGTCAGTTCGTTGGACTCTGGGGACATGTGCGTTGCTGTGATTTGGAAGTTCTGTCACTGGTATTTCAAATTCTTGCAAGGTCACCAACAGTGGACAGATTTTAGCAGAACTTCCACACTGAGATAGACTAGAAAGAAAGGCCTGGCAAGTGACTTCTGAAGACAATTGTTGTTGTGGTGGTTGTTAATGTGCCTCTGAGTTGAAACAGACTCTATGGTCTTTGGCGGGTTTTCAGAGACTGTAACAGGAACTAGAGGCGATCTGTCCTTGAAAATATTAGGAATCACGACTGAGTACCATCTGGTGTAACACTGGAGGATGAGCTGGCTGGGTAGGAAGGCACACACAGGCCAGTGGCCTCATGGACTTAGGCAGAG